TGTGTGTGTGTGTGTGTGTGTGTGTGTGTGTGTGTGTGTGTGTGTGTGTGTGTGTGTGTGTGTGTGTGTGTGTGTGTGTGTGTGTGTGTGTGTGTGTGTGTGTGTGTGTGTGTGTGTGTGTGTGTGTGTGTGTGTGTGTACCTCTGCCTCGTCCTCGTCGTCGTCGTCGTCAGCAAAGAGGGACGATGTCGTCTTCTTTGGCTGCTCGGCCGCCTTCTTTCCCTGAGAAAAACATGGTGCGTGTGTGTGTGTGTGTAGTGTGTGAGCACGATGGGGTGGATACGCGAGCACGTGACGATGCAATATGACACGAGCCAACGCCAACCGAGAACCAACTGTTTCGCATGCTTACAAAGAGCTCGTCTTCGTCAAAGTCCTCCTCATCATCCTCAAAGAGAGATGCCTTGCCCGATGACTTCTTCTTCTCTTGTTCTTTGCGTGCTTTCTCTTCTTCCTCTTGCTCAGCTCGCTTCTTGGCAGCCTCCTCCTCCTCTTCCTTCTTCTTCCTCTCTTCCTCTTGCTCAGCTTGCTTCTTGGCAGCCTCTTCCTCCTCAGCTTGCTTCTTGGCTGCCTCTTCCTCCTCAGCTTGCTTCCTTGCCTCCTCCTCCTTCCTCTCCCGTTCTTCCTCTTCGGCTTGTTTCTTCGCAGCAGCCTCTTCTTCCTCCTTCCTCTCCCGTTCTTCCTCCTCCTCCTGCTTGCGCTGTTCCTCCTCCTCCTCCTCTTCCTTCTTCTTCGCATCGACCACGACCGCCCCCTTGTCGCCCTCGTCTCCATCATCGTCCACCACCACGGGCTGCGCCGCCGCCGCCTTGCGCGACCGCCGCGTTGCCGGTGATCCCATCGCTGCCATCCGCACCGCACGCGCCTCCTCCCGCGCCTGCAGCAGGCACAGGGACAGCATGTGTTGTGTGTGTGTGTGTTGTGTGGTGTGTGTGTTGTGTTGTGTGTGTGTGTTGTGTGTGTGTGTTGTGTGTGTGTGTTTGATGACAACATGCATGAAAGCAGCAGAGGACCGTGAGAGAAGAGTTGCTCACAGTTGCTTCCAACAGCTGTACGCGGGTGCAGCCAAGAGTTGCTGTCAACAGTAGCACCACACATAAACACAGGTGCACACGCAATGTGTGCTCACCCTGGCTGCGGCTGCCTCGCGCTTGGCCTTCCTCGCCTCCGCGCGGAGACGGGCGCGCTCGTCCGCGTCCTCAATGATCGGCCCGCTCGACATGCTCTGCTCACACATGACGTATGATACCGGGGATGGTGTGTGTCAGCGTGAGTAAATCAGTGTGTGAGTAAGTATGTGTCATGTTTGTGATGTGTGTGCGTAATTGTGTCAGTGTGTGTGTGTGTGTATCGGCGTGCGTGATGGTCACACAACACAGCGGGTCCATATCGAGGACGCCTGTAGCAATGCATGCTGTAGTGCGTGCGTGCGTGCGTGCGTGTACCCATGTGCTGCGTCGGCCACCCTCGCCAGTGGCTGGGGCGGTCTTCTCGGCGACGAACTGAGACCATGGAGTATTGCAAAGGTGCAAGGGCCATGGGATGTATGTGTGCGTGGGCATGTGCCAGCAAGGGTGAGTGTTTTTCAAGCAAGAGCGCAGTAGTAAACGAACAACAACCGCGCGCGGGGGCACGCACACACGCACGCACACACACATACAGCAGCACACCTTGGACTTGTCCTGAGTGTCCTGGTTCGTGTGACCGTTCACAGCGGGCTTGGGCTTGGCTGCGAGCTTCGGTTTGGCGCCAACCGCTGTCCAAAAAAAAAACAACACACACACACAGACACACGCAAAGAGAAGACAGATACACATACACACGGACAAACATGTCAGCAAGAACAAGAAGGCAGCACGTACTGAACTCCTCCCAAACACATACACACACAACACACACACAACACACGCACAGGCGATGGCGTACAAGGCTTGCGGTTGACGGACGGTTTGCGTGCGAGCACGGGCGGCTTCTCAGCAGGTGCTGGCTTCTCAGCAGGCTTTTCAGCCGTCTTTGGCTTGGCGGCTGGCTTGGGCTTCTCAGCAGGTGCAGGTTTGGGCTTTGCCGCAGGCTTGGGCTTGGCTGCAGCAGCAGGCTTTGCCTTGGCTGTTCGTGTGTGTGTGTGTGTGTATCAAGCGAAGCGATGGATCGATCATGTGATGAGTTGTTACGTGAGAGATGGACACCAACAAACAGAGCGCCAAAAACACAGTTCAAGCAGGGTGAGCTGCATGCCTGCAAAACCAAAAACAAAATCCCATCACCATTGCGCACCGCGCTGTGCTGCCGTCGAGCCTGAATACGTGGCGACGCGACCACGGAACTTGCTCGTGTCCACAATCGTGTCACGGATGTTCCTGCATGGGGGGAGGGTGGTGGTGGTGATGATGATGATGGTGGTGGTGGTGGTGGTGGTAGGTGGATGGGTGGATGGAGATGGTGGTTGTGCGGGCATGTGAGCAGCAACACAGGCGGATGGGGAGGGAGAGTAGGAAGGAACAGAGAGGACGCTGCAACGAGGAAGGAGTCGGGAGGGATAGACAAACGGGAATAAGGATGGCCGCGGCCGGACTGGCAATTCAACGCGCGCACGCAAGCGCACATGTACATGAACGAGACACGCAGACGCAGAAGCAAGGAGACAACCAAACGAGTGACACGCACAAATGCATAGGCAGACAGACAAACACACAGACGCAGACACACAGACACAGACACAGACACACACACACACACACACAGACACTCACACATGCGCGCACACACACATATATACACACAGACAGACACACGCACACAGACAAGCATAGCCACGGACTTCTTGGCTTCGGTTGGCGGGGCGACCATCTTGCGACCGCTGAGGTCGACGGGCGTGGTTGAGGGCAGTGCGCTCTTCGTGTACACAATGCCAGACACCGTGCCTTCTTTCTCCTGCAGCATGCACAGAGACACTTGGTGTGAGAGGGGAAAAGCAAAACGGAATGGCTCGTTCAATCTCAAGTTATGGGTCCCTCTGCAACGCACGCACACGCACACACACACACACACACACACACACACACACACACACACACACACATACACAGGCACATCCCCACAACATGCAGCGCAAGCATATGCACAAAAAAACACTTACATGATCAATTACACTTACATGCTCAAACACACGTACAAGCACAAACACATACACGCACACACACAACCTTTTGCTGGTAGGTGGCAAGCGCCTTGGCTCGGAGACTTTTTGCCTCGGACTTGTAGCCCTTGGCGTTGGAGCCAGTGTCATAGTCGGCACCGCCAGCAATCTGGCGCACGTGTGCAGCAAGTGGTGGTTGCGAACAATCAGCAAGAAGCAAGCAGCGTTGGTCGTTCGAGGAGGCTTCGCCACAAATATTAACACGCAGAAGTGGGGTGACGAATGCATGCACACACGCACACACAGAAAGGAGAAGTGAAGCAAGCCCATACACACGCACGCACATGCACACACGCACACACACACACACACACGCACACACACACACGCACACACAATCACACACACACGCACACACAATCACACGCACGCACGCACGCACACACACACACGCACACACACACACACGCACACACAATCACACACACGCACACACACACAGACACACACCTTGAGCTTCTTGCGGATGATGGACTCGGTGCACTCACGCTTGTTGTCAGCGGTGAGATCGACGTTGCATTGCCCGAGAAGAGGACGAATGGAGCCCGTGTGCACACCGACGCGTGCACGGCTCATGCCACCCACACCTTCCCCAACATACGTCAGGGCAACAAACTTGACGCGCTTGGACTCTTGGTCGCCGTCCAGCAGCCGCAGCAGGCAGAAGTACGCCTGCTCACAGACGACGGATCAGAAGTGCGGTGGACGTCAGACAACACTCACGTGAGGGCCATGGCAGGTATGCGACAGTCAGCCAGCCGAGAGGCAAGCAAGCAAGCACTTGCGGCCGCAAACGAGCCAACACACATGCACACACACGCACACATACGCACACACACACACAGACACGCACGCACACACACACACACACACACACACACACACAAACACACACACACACAAACACACACACGCAGCACATGAGCAGAAATGGAAACCACATACAACAGCCTCCAGCGAACGAGAAGACTGCACCTTGTCGTCTTGGAGAAAGTCCATGAGCGCAGCGTGTCCGCCGGAACCGCTGCCGGCGACGCCAAGCACGCCCTTGCCCTTGTAGCCAATGGCACACCAGTCCGTGTCGGTCGCATCACTGCGCACATCGAAGATGGTCTCCTCAATCGCTGGGTCGCTCACGTCAGCCATGGCTGCTGCTGATGGTGCTGGTGGTTCCTGTCCTCGCCTACGCAGTGTCCAGTGTTGACGTGGTCCTTGCTCTTTTGTTGTTGGGATTTTGTTTGGGTTTCGATCCACGTTTCGCACACGCTTTCCTCTGTGCGCAGTTTGAAAGCGACGATCCACCAGATGTGTGTATGTGTGTGTGCATGTGTGCATGTGTGTTGTCTCTCCTCTCTCAAGCCTTCCGTCACAACACTCTCAAGCCTTCCGCCACAACAGTCTCTGACATGTATTGCAGAAGAGTGGTTGCAGATGTTGACCTGCACATCAAAATACCAGCAGTGCACACAAGCACATGCAAATATAACCCCCTTCCTCGTAACAGGCGCAGTGAACAGCAACAGCATCATGCACACCTGCACACGTGCGCGCGCACACTTGGTGCTATGAGAGAGTCTGTGGGCGCGTGGCGCGGCTTGAGCTGTTGTTTGATGACGGCGGGCGAGACAGCGCACGAGGGTCATCACCATCGTCCACAAACACATCACCATCGCCATCGCCATCGCCATCGTCGTCGTCGTTGTGATTGCCATTCTCAGGACCAACTGGCGACACTACCGCTGGAAGGTGGGGGCCGGGGGTGATGGGAGAGAGGGAGAGGTGGTACAACAGGGCACGTGAGCTGGGCGCAGATATGAAGTAGGATACAAGAAGCACAAACACAAACACAAACACGTTCAGGCACGTGCACAGCTTGCTTGCTTACATGTGATGTCTGAGGGTCTGCGCTGGCGTTGGGGTTCACACACGTACGACAGCTTGCGCTGCTTCTCTGCCGCCAGGCGCCGGCTGAACTCCTGCAGCCCGTTCTGGATCGCCCTGGTGGATGGATGGTGAATTGAAGCGGTTGGTAGGCGGGGACGGTATGTATGTGTGTGTTTGTGTGTGTTTGTGTGTGTGTGTGTGTGTGTGTGTGTGTGTGTGTGTGTGTGTGTGTGTGTGTGTGTGTGTGCACGCATACGACAGCACAAGTATGTGTGTGTGTGCTTGCAGGCAACACACAAGCCATCATGAAGCACCTCTCTCTGAGGACGCGTGGTGTTGCGAGGAGCGTCTTGTTCGCCTGCCCATCGGTCATCCACGGGTGTTCCAGCACATCGTCAATGGTTGGGCGCTGGCACGGCGGGATGGCGAGCAGTTGTGATGTGATGATGCAAAGCAGATCATCGTGGCGATGTGTGGAGACATTTTGTGCGTGAGAAGAGAACAAAGCACGGGATCACGACGAACGAGAGGAGGAGATACAATGGCGCGGTGGGTGCAAGCATCAATCATCACTCATCAATCATCGAGCACCGAGAACCAGGCACTCGGCAAGGCGCGCGTGTGCGATTGTGTGTGTATGTGTGCACGCAATTGCGAAAGAGTGTGCGTGCTTGTGCAAGCATGTATGTGTGTGTGCACCTCCTCTTCATAGACGAGGATGGAAGCCACGAATTCCTTCGCCTCCGGGCTCACAATCGCCCACTCGTCGTCGTCAGTGCTGTACGTGATGTCCATAATGTCATCCATCACCTCATCCTGCAAGGAACAAGAAAAGAAGGGAGAGAGTCCGTGTATGAGTGTGTTGTGTGCATGTATGAGTAAGATGTGTGAGTGCGTGTATGTGAAGGCACGAAACTGATGCAATCGACAATCACATTGGCCATCGCATTCCATTACCGCTCGCATGTCGCGAAGATTTCCCTGCACAAAACTTGCAATGCGATGTGTCCCAACAAACGGGTGCAGCCCTGATCGTGGTGGCATTGGTGGTGGCATTGGTGGTGGTGTGAGAAAAGGAGGTGACGACGGTGGAGGTGGGGGGGGGCCTTGATGTTCAATACACTTTGAACCATCCACCCAGGCATGATGGCAGTGATCGCACATATGTACATGTGTGTGATGTGTATGTGGTGTGTGTGAAGTCGTGGGTGTGCACGCATGTACGAGTGTGTGCGTGCGTGCACACCTGAGAGGATGACAAAGACGATGACGCCAAGACCCCACACGTCCGTCGCCGGGCTGTTCGGCGCTGCGGTCCGCGCATCCAGCGCCTCCACCATCTCGGGTGACATGTACTCCAACGTGCCCGCCTGAACACGGCCGTGTGCGATGGTGATGGTAGTGACAGTGGTGGTCGTGAGTTACGTGGGTGCTTGTTGTGGATGACCATGTGCACGAGAGACGCAGCAGCAGCAGCAGCAGCAGCAGCAGCAGCAGCAGCAGCAGCAGCAAGGGGTGCAGCATCAAGTGCTGTCATTGCAGTGCTTACCGGGATGAGAAAGTGGTCGTGGGAGCCGCTGTAATGGCTGTTGTACGACAGGTTGAAGTCGCACAACTTCGCTGGTATCACCTGTCAACAGTGATTACAACGGTGATGATGATGATGATGATGATGATGATGATGATGATGATGATGATGATGATGATGATGATGGCGGTGGTCGAGGTAATGGTGGGGTGAGGGCTGCACGTTACACAACGTAGCAAGGCGAATGCACACACAGCACACACACGCACACAAACACACACAAACACACACAAACACACATACGCACACGTGTGGACTGACCTGCGATTTCGAGCGGCACAGGATGTTTTGCGGCTTCACATCACGATGAACAATGCCTGTGGGGTTGCAAATGGAGGGGGAGGGTGGTGGTTGTGGTGGTGGGCATTGCGTGGTCGTGGTTTTTGGGTTGAAGAGAAGCAAAGGTGAGCAGCGTTGGGACATTTGTGCAGGCAGCAAGGAGGAGACAAAGATGGGCAGGCAGACAGGCCAAGACAGACAACGCACATGAACATGCATGTATACGTAGCCATCATGAGTACGTGTGTGTGTGAGTGTGTGTGTGTGAGTGTCACCTTGAGAGTGGAGGAAGCTGAGTCCAGTGGCGATGTCCCGAGCAACGAGACACGCCTCCCGCTCCAGGAACGCGCTCCGACGCTGGTGGTGGTGGTGGTGAGTGAGAGAGAGTGAGCGGAGGTGAGTGAGTGAGTGAGTGAGAGTGAGCGGAGGGGGGGGGGGAGACCGAGGTACAGTGGAGCACACACACGTACACACACACACACACACACACACACACACACACACACACACACACACACACACACACACACAAACAAACAACACCACGAAGACGTACGCGGATGTGCTGGAGAAGGTCGCCCCCTTCCAGCCGCTCAAAGACGAAGAAGAAGGCCACGCGGTCCTCGTAGAAGTCAAGCAGCTGCACAATGTTGGGCTGCCCTTTGCATCGCAGCAGTGTATCTCGCTCGCTCATGATCTGGTCGCGGGTCGGCCGCTGGCCCGTCGACGGCAGCAGCGGTTTCGGCACCGTGGACCCCGTCATGCTCGCCTGCTCGCAACCATGGTGGTGGTGGTGGTGGTGGTGAGGAGGAGGAGGAAGAAGGGGGGAAGCGGATGGAGTGATGTCGAGGAACCACAGATACACACAGACAGACAGCCAGCCAGAGACACAAAGACAGCCAGACAGACAGCCAGACAGACAAACAGCCAGCCAGCCAGACAGCCAGACAGCCAGCCAGACACATCAGCACCAGCGCACCGCGTCGGATGTGCGTGACCGCGAGCGCTTTGCGATGATCTTGACGGCGGCGCGTTTGTATGTGCGTTTGCTGAGACACCCGCGAACAACAGCAAACGCCCCGCGCCCCAGCATCTCGCCATTCAGCATGTACTCCTCTGCCGTCGCACCGCGCGCACATGTGTGTGTGAATGTGTGTGTAAGCGTGTGTGTGTGTGTGTGTGTGTGTGTGTGAATGTGTGTGTAAGCGTGTGTGTGTGTGTGTGTGTGTGAATGTGTGTGTGTGTGGTGAGACATGTGTTGTGAAAACGTGAATGTATGTTAGTAGCACACAGAGCAGTCGGCGGCCACACCTGACGGCAATCACGCCAACAGCTGCGACCTCATCACTACCGGCTCACCACGACCACCGCAATCATCATGATGGCGGTACATATCAGACGCACGTGTGAAGCGGGGTGCTGGCGCGTCCCCGTGTTGAACAGCACGACGACGACGACGGCGGCGGCGAGGCGGCCCAGACCCGTCGTCTGCACGAACACACACACACACACATACACACACACACACACACACACACACACACACACACACACACACACACACACACACACACACACACACACACACACACACGTGCACACGCATTGTGAGAACATTGGCAGGTTGGGGGAGGGATGGCAGGTCATAGGGGCACGTGTACACACACACACACACACACACACACACACACACACACACACACACACACACACATGGAGACACATGGAGACATGCACGCCAGGGCGGCATGGCAGTCGCACCGGGCTCGTCGGTCCAGGGAGTGGTGATGCCACTCGACGGCTCGCTCGTGTCGTGCAACTGCAGCAGCACATGCACACACACGTCCATACACACACGTCCATACACACACGTCCATGCACACACACGTCCATGCACACACATGAAAATGCACACGGTGATAGTAAAGTACCGAGGCAAAAGTGAGCCAAGGAACAGGAAAACAAATCACACCCACACCCACCCACCCACACCCACACACGCACAGGCACAGGCGCAGGCACATCCACAAGCAAACAAGTACCCTGCACACCATCTCTTCCACTCCATCCACCCTTCCACTCAATCCCGCCGCCACCGCCCAAATCTCGCAACCAAAACACGCACGTGTCGCGGTGTGGAGGGCTCAGTCGGTGTTGTTGGTACAAGCGCTGTCCCCTCCATGACAAGGTCATCCGTTGATGGCACCTCCACCAGCAGCGATGGCCGCCGCATGCGCAAGTCGCGTGTGCCTGCAGGCAATCCCGTGCTGACTTCTTGCTCGCCGTCCAGCGAGTTGCTTGCGTCGTAGCTGTCGACATCACCCTCGTACGGCGCCTGCGAGCTCTGTGCGTCTGTCAGCTCTTGACTGTCTTCAGTGCCGCTGCCGTCATCACCACCACCACCGCTGCGAGCAGCATCCTTGCTGCCGTGGGCACCAGTGTTGAATCCAGAAGCGTGTGTTCGCCGGCCTCTCACAGGTACCACCACCAACTCAACCTGCCTCGTCACAGGCCCATCCTCCCCTTGTTGTCGGCTGTCTGCCCTCTGTTCACTGGCTCGATCCTGGCCTTGTGTACGTTGCCCTCTGTCCCGCTGCTGTTGCTCTTGTGCATATTCCGGTTCCCCTTGCTGGTCTTGCCTGTTTTCATTCGCGTCACCATCCTCCTTACCCTCCCCTGCAACAACAGCTGCTTTGTCATGGTAATCCTCTTCCCCTTCATTTTGAGCTTGCCGCGGCTCCTCCTCTACGCAGTTTCCCCAATCCTCATCACGATAATCAGCATCGTCAATGTCGTCACCATCACCATCGTCACCACCACACTCATCACCATCGTCATCAATATCACCGTCGCCGAGCAGCTCCGGGGATGGTGTCAAGAACTGGGGGCGACTGCCTTGCTTGAGGGCTGCATCGCGGTCACTTGCATTTCTGGTGGCCGGCTGTTGGTGTTCCTCGTCGTCGCTTGGTCCGTAGTGCTCAACAGCACCGATTCGACCGTCCATCTTCTTCAGGCAATACGACGACGCTTGTGCCCCTTCAAGCGGCGGCTCCGTCGCCACAACACGAAGTTCTGACACAGGTGGGTGTGGATGTGTGTCGATGCGTGGTTTGTTTGGGGATGCGGGGTGGATGTGGGTGAATGAGGGTGTGTGTGTCGAGTGCAGCAAAAGCTGAGTAAAGCCGACATGGGGACGAGAATAGTGTCGAGAACAGAGCTTTTCACAACAGAAGAGAGGGAAGAAGAGAGGGAGAGAGACTTGAACTGTGTTGCAAGCGGGTGTATGCGCGATTTGGATCTGTGCAATGATGCATGCATGTGTGTGTGTGCGGAAACAAACCCCAAGTGTTCTCCTCACCTTGAACGTCGGTCATGGGGTCGAACTGGTGGCATTTGATCGGGGGATGCAGTGGGTGTTCAACCAACCAAGAGAACAGGAGCAGAGAGGCTGGGAATAGAGAAACCAAAACAGCGAAACCAGACCTGGCAGGACTCAATTAACTGCTTGGATATGATAGTTGTTTGAATTGAACTGGAGGGAGGTCTACGGCGTGGTGTTGTGCTTTGTGCTTGATGTGATTTGTTGCTTATCTTGTCAATAACAAAGGCTCACCACCCCCTCAGCGACGGCGAGGTGCTGATGAACAAGGGAGCGACGGCAGAGATAACAACAACCCAAAGAAGAGGGGGAACCAACCAACCAAGATCACATGAAGGACAACAACCACAACCAACCAAAACAGGAGAAAGCGCAAAGCGAAATGAGGCAAACACGGTTCAAAACACCATAAACAGTAGCTACACAAACGTTTGGTGTTTTTGTTTGTTTGCTTTGGTGTGTGTGTGTGTGTGTGTGTGTGTGTGTGTGTGTGTGTGTGTGTGTGTGTGTGTGTGTGTGTGTGTGTGTGTGTGTGTGTGTGTGTGTGTGTGTGTGTGTGTGTGTGTGTGTATGCATGTGTGTGTGTGTGATCACAGCATCAGCAACAGCAGCAGCACAGGACGAGCATGAGAGCTGACGAGTGAATGTTTAAGAACGTAGACCCTGACTCTTGTCCTTCCATCATGGCCATCCAAACAGTGACAACAACAGCAACAAACAACAACAAACAAACAAACAAACGACGACGATGAAGGTCAAGGAGCAGGGGCGCACGAAGCAAGCATGCCAGCCAGGCAAACACACAACAGGTCGGAGTAGAAGTAATGTAACACCACACATCTCACGCGTCGCACTGCACATTGCACATGTCAAACGACGCCATGACAGTGCAAAATCAGTGCCAACAAACTACCACCAGCACCAAGCAACCATCACCAGCACCCAGCAAACAAGCAAGCAAACAAGCAAGCAAATGACAAGGGGAAATTCAAATAACCCAGGGAAGACAAAGCAAAGCCAGATGGTGTGTTCGCCGCGTTGCTTGCAGTCGTGAAG